AAGTCGGACGCTCAACTGACTGAGCCACCCAGGCGCCCCTGGAGGGCTGACTTTAATAAAAATTTACATTAGTAACTTCTGAAAAGAACTGTGTGAAATATACCTTATTTCATTGAGTCTTAAAAGCTATTGATTATATTATTTACTATTTTTCATACCACTAAGACAGAAAGATGGCCAGTTAAAATATATTTCACTGTATGTGGGATATTTAAAATGTGGAAAAAATTATGTGCATGAGTATTTGGTGTTTCTGTGGCCGTGGTCGCCAGAGCGAGGGTTGCGGCCAGTCATTGTCCCTCCAAGACCAGCCAAGTTGTAGATGTCTGGGTAACTTGTGGTTCACAGACCTAAAGTATTTCTTAACCTGTTGGTGCTATTGTATGGTTGAAACTGGCCTGTTGATACGTTTTATTTTTATCCTTTTATTACATTCAATAAGTCTTACAGCCCCTCTTTGATAGGCTGGCAGCCTATAAGAGCAAGTATTGAGTCTTATGTTTAAAACACATTGGAGTAAGTCCGGTTTCCAGGTTCACCCAGGACACTGAATGTTTCACCGCCCCCTCTCCATCCGTGTCGTTGTACAGTGAGTTTGTGTACGAAGTTTATGAATCCCTTACAGTTTTGTAGAGAGCACTGCGCTGTTTACCTCTCATTAGAATTTGACTTTTCCATGCTCTCTCTCGCACGTGCTAGCCTGCGGCAGTGCGCCGGGCGGGGAAGGCTCCGAGCCGAGTCCACGGCTGAGCGGTCTGTGTCCCTGGACAGGTGAGTCGCGGCACGTGGCCGCTTCCCCGGGGCGGGCTCTCGGGGCGGGGCCGTCAGAGACAGTTTCGGTGCATGTGTACCAAGCGGCTGTTCTGAGCTGAGAATAGAATTGCGGAGGACGGAAGCACAACGTGGAGCGTTTGCTGTGAGTCATCAGCCTGTCACCACTGTCATCATTAGGCTGGTTTTATGAAGTGAACTTCTAACAAGTGACAAGGAAATGTTCCTTTTTAAAAAATGTTCTTCAAAATTACTCACTGCTAGTCGGTAAAGACCCTTGGAAAGGGGGAAAGAGGATTAAAGCGTGTTCTTCTAAAAGCTCCAGGGGCCTGGGCTCTGGGGTTCTTCGCCCTCAGTGCTCTGGGAACCCAGCCTGGCAAGGTTCTGCCCGCTCACTTCCGCAAGGAGATCTGTACAGTCTCTGTTTGGAGCTAATTGTTTGAAATTGCTGCTGAGGTGCCTGTGGATTTGTACTACTGACATAGGCAACCAACTCTGTGCTAAGCATTGCGGGGGGACCGAGGGCGTCACTGTAGATGTTGACAGTGGAGGAGGTAGGGCTGGCATAGTGTACATATTGCCAAATTCACGTTCAAAGCTAAGTTACGTGATTGCAAATTTTGGGCTTTTAAGTTTATTTATTTTCAGAGAGAGAAAGCTAGAGGGAGTGAGAGAGTGAGCACGGGGGAGGGCCCGAGAGAAAGAGAATCCCAAGCAGGCTCTGCACTGTCAGCTCGGAGCCTGATGCGAGGCCTGAACTCATGAACTGGGAGGTCATGACCTGAGCGGAAACCAAGAGTTGGACGCTCGCTGGACTGAGCCACCCAGGTGCCCCCCAAGTTTTGGGCTTTCAGTAGTATATTACAACTCAGCTAACAGGGAACATACTTTTAGTGTGTTTTAAAAAAGAAGTGAAAACCAAAAAGGATAGTTAATTATGGACGGCAATTTAAGCTTTAAAGCCTGTACTCTGAGAACACAGTCTGTCATACAATAATCTGATACGGAAACAGAACAAATATTTATTGGGTTCATGCATCCATCAAATATTTGAGGACCTCCTCAGTACCAGGTACTGTCCTCTGACACTTTGAGCTTCTTTTCCGCTCACCTGCCTCGTCTCCTTCCCCATCCCCCCGCACCTCTGCCCCTGCAGTGCGAAATGATTAGAATCCAGCAGAAAGTGACCCAGTATGGGCATGGACAGTGACTGTGCCAGCTTTGAGGAAACCTTATGAACAATAATTGAGAATGGCTTTGATCCCAACTGTGCTAGCTGTAAAGTGGAGGTTTTCTGCTTTCTGGAAGGTACGGGGAGAGCACCCCTTCATGAAGTTTGTCTGCCGGGTAGGAGAGTGAGTAGGGTTTTAGTTAAATAATTTTTCCTGGATAAGATTTGCTGGGTGCCTCTCTGAGATGTTTTCTTTAAGCCCAAATCTACATTCTTTGAATTATAATTATTTAAAAATAATAACCATGAATTTTTGTGAAATCACTGAGTCAAAATGTGAAAACTCTGTGCAGTGGGTAACCCAGATGGTCACAAAACGTGTTTTCCTGCAGCTCTGCCCTCTCTAGCGTTAGCGACTTTTGGTCGCTAAAAGTGTCTAATTTATTGACTCTGAATAGAAGGAGTTTCATTTGGGGGGAGGGATTTAATGAACCCCTGAGCAAAACTGCTTGCTTAAACTCTCAGGGAGTCTCTGAAGCTTCTGAGTAGGGATAGCTCCGGTTAGTGACACGGGCCAGTTATGTCTCGTGCCTGTCCTCTTGCCTCTGAGGAACCCCCCCCCCCAATCCATTCTCAGTATTATCAGGATTTTAGGACTGATTATTTCCCTATGAAACATTTGATAACGATTTTCATCACAATCTAAAAATTTAAAATAGTTAAGATGACAAGTGCAGAGTATGGGCAGCCATTCTAAATTGGCCAAAGGGTTTACTGCCTCAGTTCTTTATCCTGAGGTCCCCACCCCTCACCCCAACAGTGTTTGCTAGCTTTCTTTTTGTTTTTGTTGTTGTTTTTTCTGCCTGAGGTCCATACGTGGCCCATTCCTGACTTCGTAATATCGGTAAGGCTTTCTAGATAATTTCTGGTTCTCTCAGTGTTTTGTAACAGTGTAAGATCATAGAAATATTGAGAATGCACCTCAATGTAATTTATTTAGGCAATAAATGAGAAAAAAAGGAAGAGAGAATTCAGAAAATCTTATGGGGCTTGAACTCTCTGGAAAGCCCCGGAGGAAGGTCTGGAGCATGAGGATATGAAGGAAGAGGGTGGGTGAGGGTGGTATGGGCTAGGTAGAAAAGAAGCTGGTATTTCCTATTCCAGTCTCTTCTTTGAGGGGGAGGATTCTGTGTTATTTCTTCTTAATAGCTAAGAATGCATTCTTGTTCTCTTGTTTCCTTCTGTCTCACCAAGGGATGATGCTTACTTTCACGAGGGAGGTAGGGAAACCTGTGTGTTGATTCACAGCGTGTGAATATGGTTAACATGCCAAGGAAGTTAGGTTCCTGTACCCTTGGGTCTCTGGATTCGTTTATGTCACGAGGACTGTGGTAGCCAGAACATTTCAGTTGAGAAAACGGGAAGGTAGGGGTGCAGTTAGCCTCTTGTACGGGACAAGTGCCAGTCACCTTCTGTATGGAGATGAACAGCCAGTTTTGCGGGTAACTTCTAGCTTATGTGTTTGCCCACCTCTCCGATCTCCTCCCCTCTCTCAGCATGCCTTCAGAAGTGTTGCTGAAGATCTTTTGCAACTTGGATGCTGTGACCCTGCTGTGTACGGGATGTGTGAATAGGCGCTTTTATCATCTGGCCAATGACAAGTAAGGAGAAAACCAAATCTCTCTATCATCTTTTGATGGCGTGTTGATGGAAGTCATGAAAACTAGTAAGACCTTTTTAACCATTTTTTGAAATTTAAAGTAATTTCAAAAGTGTGTTTAGACATAGATGGAACATGTCTAATACTGTAAGTGGTCAAATGATATTTGATAAATGATAAATGAGATTTGCATTTATTTGCTTAAAAAAAAGAGTGTCTTTGCATGAACTGAAAGTGATCAAACTTGCTATTGGGGTAGCTGTTGTCTCCTCTGTGGAAGAATCTCTCTGTCTGTGTCCATACTCACACAAGTGGGTTCAAGGCAAATAAGCATGTTTTTGACAGTAGTTCTAGAATGGACGTAGAGTGATTTTTTGTGTCTCTTTCTTAATGACTCTTTATAAGAGGTGAAGACATTTCACCAAAGCAAAGTGCAGTAAGGCATTTTTCATGAGAGAGTTCAAGTATCCCAAACTGTAGCTTTTTGGAGGGTTCTTACTTTATTTAAGAATAGAACTTCAATCGCTTGGATAAGGTGATCAATTACAAATTGCTTAGTATCTCTAAATATCCCCTTTTCCCACTGAACTTCATAGGCCCAGAAGGTACAGGCTCTGGGCGTTCCAGTGGATTTGGGCCACACCTCTAGTAATATTCCTTGCATACTTTTGTTATTAATTACATGCCTGCCCCACTTTCTTGGGGGTTGTCCTTTAAAAATCTGGGCTTCTGAAGGAATTATCCTCATGTTTGTTTTCTTTTTAAAGGAAGTACCTTAATTGTGTACATTGAATTTTATTTTTAAGAGTCATAGTCTGATTTTATAGTGAGACTTCAAAAAGGGCATGTTGACGATTGAACTGGTAAACAAGTGTTTGTCAACAGTGAATGGTATTTTCTAAGCGTTACTTCTGGAGAGGGCAGGAGTGCCTACAGTAGCCAGTTACACTGATGACTTATGGCGAGACCTGTTTGGAGGCTTGGGGTCTCCCTGATGCCCCCCTTACATGGGGGGAGGTTGCCCCCTCCCTGTGGGTATTGCCTCCCTCAACCTGAGCTCCAGGCTCTGCCTGTGTGGGGGTAAGGGGGAAACTTGTCCAGGCTGGATTGGGATCATCACGTGGGGCTTTTATTTTCCAGCACTCTGCGAAACACTTTATCAGAACGTTAAATTGGCCCCATTTTGTCAACAACTTGTCTGATTGAAGTTGTTCTGTGCCTGACTGGTAGTCAGAATAGCTAAATATGCTCTTGTCCTCAAATCCACCTTAGTTTCTTTCTTTCTTTCTTTCTTTCTTTCTTTCTTTCTTTCTTTCTTTCTTTCTTTCTTTTTTTTTTAACAGGACGGGGCATTGGGTGATCAAGAAATGAATGTGTCTGGATTTTGAGTACTTGTTAAAAGCGTCTTAGGCCTGACATTTTTGCTTTATAGATGAATAAGCAGAACAGTCTCCACAGTATTTTAATTCTATGGGATGTTCTTTTTGGACTTCGCTACGGTAACTGCAGTAAGATAATGGTGTGTAAGTGGCTCTTCGCACAGATGTCAGGTGTAGCTGTACCTGAAGGTGTGTGGGTTTCCCGCTCTGTGTCCTCTCCAGGCACCGTGTTTTGTAGTTGGCGAGTGCGGGCCCACAGACAAGAATAGAGTCAGCTGCAGTTCATGTGGTGCTGATGTGAGAGATTTGGGAACACTTATGTGGAGTAAAATGATGAGTAAAATAAATTTTGAAGAAAATATGAACAAGTTTTTATGTAAAGGGAGTTTTAAAAATTGCCTACGCAAGGGATTTTGGCAAAATGGTTTCAGATTTACCTAAGATGTACTCAAAGGATCGTCATTTTGCAACTCTTAGCTCACGTACGAAAACTCAGAAATTTCCGAACTGAGAAATACCTTAAGGCAGAAAGCTTGGTGTGAAATGATTTTGTGGGGTGAGAAATGATTTGAAAATGTATACTAGAGAGTGATGTCAGTAGGGATCTGGTTATGCATTTGATAGAAAATGAGTTTGATGGAAAGTCCACGTCCGACCTGGATCAAGGGGACACGTCTGTGCCCCTTGCCGCTGTGGTTACTGCTGGGTAACCCGAGCACTTAGGAACCTCCAGAGTGCCCTGGCATCTCGTCTGGACCTCCTCTGCAGGGGCATTGCCTTCTCCCAGCTGCCTCTTGGCCATTGGCCATTCCGTCCCACTGCACTAAATAGAAATGTGGAGACATGAATTAGCAAGTAATTACACTTACTTATGTACAGCTCACCTTTTATAGTAGGAAATTGATTTGAGCCCCTGTCTCAGTTTCCCCTAAGAGAAGTTTGTTTCTTCCCCGGAAGGAGAGCACCGAGAGAGGTGCCTTAGGCTCACTTTGGCCTCTGCTAACCGCCACTGCTCCTGTGACGTCTCGTCTGGGTGTGATGAGCGGGAGGGACACAGGCTGTGGGTCAGGGCTGAAGTTGAATTCAGCCTTGTGGCTGATTGGCTCTCGAATTTGGATAAATTACTTGGTTTCCTTGAGTTCATTTCTCTGTGACTGAGGCCGGGAAGCACAGGGCGTGAGTGCGTGAGCTCTGGTCGAGGCTGTGTTGGTGCAACCCTGGGTCTCCGTCTCCTCGGCACATACAGGCTGGCCTGGGCCAGATCACTTCCCACTGGGCCTCATGACATTATCTGCTGAGGGGGGGACCATAATGGTAGCTACTTCATGGGTTTGTTGACAATTAAAGTAGTTAATGTTTACGAAGTGCTCCAGTGATGCTTAACACTGCACAAACAATATTAACTGGTTTTCTTCATTTTTTTCATTATGCAGGGAATTTTTTCATTTTATTCTCTTTGTGCAAACGTTGCATGTTCATGGTAGAAAAATTAAAATGTGGAAAAGGAACATACAGTTCCGTTGCTGTTGGCATTTCTCTGTGTGTGTATGTACATATACTTCCTTTCCAGCCTTTTAAGAAGTGTACGTATTTAAAATAACACAATAGGAGTCACTTTGTTATTTTTCTGTAATCCCTTATTCAGTGATTACTGTAGGAAGACAGTGGTTTGGATGATGTCAAATGACAGGAGGTCACTCATTTTAACTTGACCGGGGGCAACAAGCTTTTCCTTTTCGTACACATTTCTGGGGTCAGTGGATCTGGGACACTCCCCTCAAACCACGGTTCACTCTAACACGTGAATGACTGTCAGTGTTCAGTTTGCTTTGTTCATGGAATCGGACTAGTTACAAACGATTGTGCATCTCTGATTTAACGTGTCACTTCTGCAGGCACATGACTGTGTCTTTTAGTTAACGACGTTCCTCTTCTCCCCCAGTTTTCTTTGGATCAGGATCTATTCAGCGGCCTTTTCACCTAAAAGATCTAATTGGAAAGTTAATTCAGTGGAGAAGACCACTGGATCTGTGAACGTGCTGTCGGTTAAGGATAAAGAAGCTGGGTACTGGAAGAAAGAGTATATTGCAAAGCAGAGAGCACGTGTGAGAGCAGCGCTCGCCCAGGTGCTCAAGCCTGTGAACCCTTACACGGGCCTGCCGGTGAAGACCAAGGAGGCCGTCAGGTACACAGCTTCCTCCCGAGCTATGGGCACGCTGGGTGCTCGAGGGTGCTGTTAACATCTGCACGTGTGTTGCTTTAGAAACAGTGATGGTGTGAGCTCAGAGTATTGCACATTTAAGGACATACGTGCAGTTTATACCGTGAGGGGACTGTCTCTTGGTATTTTCCTGTGTTTCTGTGCATCCATAAGTTATATAGTGTTTTCCTATTTCACATAAACGGTCTGATGTGTTCATGAAAAGCAGAAATCACCTAGTCATCTGCTGCAATAAAGCAAGAGCATCCAATGCGTCCTTCCTTCGGGGAAGAACTTTGTCTCATGTATGTATTGCCAGTTCCGAGAACACAGTAAATGTTCAATGAGTGTGTTAGGTGAGGAGAAAAAGTCTAAAGAGAGGACCATTGACGGAATGAAAATTTATGTCAGGCACTTTCTGAGGACTTTGGCTTTGGCTTTTCAGGAACTAGATACTTTAGAGATGATACATGAAATTGACTTTAGCATTTTTTATTTCTGCAATGAGGCCAACATTGTTAGCTTTTCTTTCTCCAGAATATCTGGTTTAGGTTGGGTAATTATATTGAGAGAAAAAAATGGAAAAGAATACATCATGGAGCACATTGACCTTTCCATAAATGACTCATCAGTGACGATTATGTGGTATGGCAAAACTTGGCCCCGGCTGGCCACATTGTCAACTCTAGATTTGTGTGGTGTGACGCCAGTTTTTATGGACCAGTCTAAAACCCCCTCCAAAAATGGGTAAGTATTAATTCTACAGAAGCTTTGGGTGAGAACATCTTATATGTAAATACTAGTTATTATTATTCTTTTTAAAAAAAATGTTTATTCATTAGAGCACGTGTGCATGTGCAGGAGGGGCAGACTGGGGCCGAGAGGGAGGGACAATCCCAAGCAGGCTCTGTGCTGTCACCACAGAGCTCACTGCTAGTCTCCGACTCATGAATTGTGACATTATGACCTGAGCTGAAATCAAGAGTCAGATGCCCAACCATCTGAGGCACCCGGCTGTCTCAGTTGTTACTATTCTTGCAGTTTAAAGATACCGCCAGTGTATTTTAATTTGATTGCATCTTCAAGACTTCTCTCGCATTCTGGATCACTATAGAAGAGAAAAAGAATGGATTCATCACATTTATGATTCGATCTAAATTTAAGTTCCTCATATCTTGGTTGTCTGTAACAGAGAATAATATTCTAGTTAACAAAGAGAATAATGTTCTAGTTAACAGAATTCCTAGGTGATTGATAGCTAACCTTTTGAGCTTTTTAGTTTTAACCATTTTGAATCAAAGGTATATAAAACTATTATATCTGGGGCGCCTGGGTGGCTCAGTCGGATGAGCGTCCAACTTCGGCTCAGGTCATGATCTCGCGGTCTGTGAGTTCGAGCCCCGCGTCGGGCTCTGTGCTGACAGCTCAGAGCCTGGAGCCTGCTTCGGATTCTGTGTCTCCCTCTCTCTCTGCTCCTCTCCCACTCATGCTCTGTCTGTCTGTCTCTCTCTCTCTCTCTCTCTCTTTCAAAAATAAATCAACATTAAAAAAATAAAAAAAACTATTATATCTTTCTTTTAGTAAATGGTACAGTAACCATAGTTTAAACATTAGGACATACAGTACTGCTTAGTTATTTTTATGTGCCTCTCTGTTGAACTGACCAGATGTGTGACCTTGTGCAAGTGGCTCAGCCTTTCTGTGCCTCAGTTTTCTCATGTGTGAAATGGGGTGATGATGACGATGGCGACGAGTATTTAGCACGTGTGGCTGCTGTGAAGACCAGAAGGGGCATCAGATTTGTGTGTCCTTATGTTCTGTCCTGAGGGGCTCTGTGCTGCGTCCATGTGTATTCGAAGTCCGTCCTGCTCACTCTTCTTGCCATTAGTCACTTTCTCCTAAGAGCTAGATGCTGCCAGCTGCGGTGTCTTCACTTCCCGAGCGAGCAGGCGCAGCTTTACATCGAACGCATGGAAAACATGGGTTGTAGCTGCCTTCTCCAGGCTTGGTTTCCTGCCCTCAGCAGCCCTCTCCACGGCCCTCCATCCTTGCACATTGCAGTGCATTTACCACGTCACTGTTCCTGCCAGCCCGTGCGCTGTGGCTCTACCTGTGGCTTCTCTCACCCGTGTCCTTGTGATGGCAGGTGTCGTCCATGGCAGGACAGCTTTCCTTAATGGCTTCCCTGGACTCTGGACTCATTTTTGCAGCTTGGTAACCAGGACCTTGTTTTTCTTCTGCAATCTGGGGCTGGTCCTTTGAGGATCGTGTCAGTGATCGTGCTTCTGCTTGTCATGCTGGGAGTGTGAGGGCGTTTCACTTCTTAGTGTTGGTGAAGCCAGGTTTTATTGTATTCTGAAAATAGCCTTAATGCTACGAAGGATAACATGTGAATTATCTTCCCTGATTATATTACTGAAGGTATTTTAGCAGCATGTTTACTTAAAAAATTTTTTTTTATGTTTATTTATTTTTGAGAGAGAGAGAAAGAGACAGAGTGTGAGTGGGGGAGGGGCTGAGAAGGAGACACAGAATCAGAAGCAGGCTCCAGGCTCCGAGCCATCAGCACAGAGACTGACGCGGGGCTCGAACACACAAACTGCGAGATCATGCCCTGAGCTGAAGTTGGACGCTTAAACGACTGAGCCACCCCGGCGCCCTGGAAGCTTGTTTACTTTTTAAAATGGGACCTCTATTTGGATAAATCTCTGAAATTTCATATGCTATCATGATGGACACTAGATTTTTCTAATGCGGTATTTAGGTTTTATGCACTATGAAGTTATGTTTGGAGAATCAGTCTATAATCTCTGTACTAATTTGACTGAACAATATGTTACTTGGCATATCATGAAGTATTGTTTATATGCATTAGGACAACATTGTTAACGTCAATTAAGATGGTCACGGAAGACGCAGTGGGTAGTGTTGAACAGTGAGGCTCGGTTACAGATGCTGTGCTCCTGACAACTGCCATCCAGGTCGGGAATACTGGATTCTGTGCGGTGACAAATGCTAGAATTCATTGGGAAAATTGATTTCATGTAATTTATTTCCATTAAAACTCAGTGGACTTCAGCCAGCATTTGATAAACTGTGGAGAAGAGACACTAGAAGTGTTTTTTAGGAATTTGTTTTGATGGGCTCTTTTATTGCAAGTTTGAAAGCAAATGTGTTTATCATGCAGAAGTACAAATCATCGTGTGCATCTGTGTGACAGCAAAGGAAAAACTTGGTTATTTGGGTCTGTTTTGTTTCCTCCATGAGGATTTTTTCAAGAACAGCGAAAGCCTTATTTGTGTAATTTGCAGTTTGAATTTCCCTGTAATTTATACCTTTCTAGTCAGCTCATTAAATTTTCTGTTCTGGAAATGTTCTCCGTTCTGTGGTTTATGCTATACCTCCCCAAATTTGGGAGGAATGTTGAGTAGGTATCAGCCTTAGTTTCTCTCTCTTTAGCCTGTGAGGCCAAGGCATGTGGGGACTTAGCCTGCTCTCTGTGGAGTCTGCTTGAACGGCTCTTGAGCCATGGTGACGACTGTCCCTACTTAGGACACATTGAAGAGTGTAAGAGGAGGGTTTTCACACCTCCGCCCGACCTCGTCTGTCTGCACTGAGAATCGTGGTGGCAAGGACTACCGTTTCTGAGCACCTTAGGGTTGGCTTTAAGGTTTCAACTCCAGTTTCCCTGAGGCCATACTCATGTTCCTAACCGTGTGGCTTCCTCCCAGTGTATTCTGTCTATGCGGAGTATACTTTGAGATCGTATGTCACACGCATGTTCACTGACCACATCCCCCAGGCAATGTAGTTTTCTGTGCCAAAAGTCCTTTGAAAATTGAGGGAGGAACCAAGGTAGTCTGGAAGCTTCAGGTCTTCCTCCCACCCCCATGCCTCCACTTTGAAACAGCTGAAGTCCTTCGTTTTCTGATTCTTTTACTTAATGAACATTTGAATACCTGTCTCCTGCCAGCGTGTGTCTTAGGTGCTGGAGGAGAACGCTTGGATGCCATGTGGCCACAGCTCCTTAGGGACTTTCCTCAATGCTGAGCTATGCTAATTGACCACTAAGATCTCATCTCCTTTATAATTTCCTGAACTATCTCTAGGTCCTTGGAAAGGACATCTATGTTTACCATTATAGTGCTTCTAGAATGTTTCATTCGTTTTTTTTTTTTTTTTTTTTTTATATCTCATGATGAATAGCAGAGTTGTGTTTCCTTACACATCTGAGTTATTACTTACTCTCAGATAGTAATTCTAATATAGAGTTCACAGTGGATCTCCTCCGTGAAAATCCTCAGGGTTTTGGACTAAATTCGTTTTCCAATATTAAAATTTTCACTCTCTCTGAGTTATCCTTGATAATAGCTTTAAAAGGTATATATCTCTGCTTCCAAGAGCCTACTGAGACCACCTGCTCTTTTTTGTCACTTAAAAAATATTTCATCTTTGCTTATGCCTTAGTTTCCTTAACTAGGGATACATACAGTTACAATAATATGAGAATCTACTTTTTTTTAAAATTTTTTTTTAATGTTTATTTATTTTTGAGACAGAGACTGAGCATGAACGGGGGAGGGTCAGAGAGAGAGGGAGACACAGAATCTGAAACAGGCTCCAGGCTCTGAACGGTCAGCACAGAGCCCGACGCAGGGCTCGAACTCATGGACCACAAGATCATGACCTGAGCAGAAGTCGGACGCTTAACCAACTGAGCCACCCAGGTGCCCCGAGAATCTACTTTTGACTGTAGCATTGTGCTGGGCTCTGAGGGGAGGAGAGCAGAAGATGATTGTTCCTCACCCTCATGGTTCTTCCACTTCTGACTGGAAGTTGAGTTGACACTAAGAGTGAGGAGGAGGGGAAAGAAACATAGTTGGGCGAGAAATTTGGGTGTATCCATTTTCCTTTTATTTACATGAATGGTTTGCATCCCCTGACCCTCAACACACCATTCATTAGCAAGGTGCATGTTATTAGCATGCTCTTCAAAAGTACTTTTAAATACACTCAAGAGAATTGATAACCGCAGGTGTGAAAGCTCATTTCTCTCCTTCCTTTCTTTGGCATGGATGTTCAAAGACCTCGGTGGCATTCTTTAATTGCAAAGTACAATCTGAGTAACTTAACCGAATCCACCATGATTGGCGGGGACCGACTCCTTCGGATCTTCTGCCTCTGCCCAGGCCTGCTGGTGGGGCTGTGGAAGGTAAGACTTGGGTCCCTGCCTGTGTGATGCCACCTCCCTGCCCATTCCACATTTACTCACTGCTGTGCGTGACACCAGATGTGAGGTCCTGAAGACTCTTCACTAACGGCATTAATTCTCTGTTACCAGTTTTGCTTTTCTAACTAAATGGCCCCTTGTTGTGTGGAGGCGACTCTGTTCTCCTGTTGTAGATGACAAGCTCCCTGTTCCTGCCTGGATGCTTTTGTTCACATTAGACCGTTCATATCCTGAAAAATCTCACCCCTTCTCCTTCCAGTCAGTCCGTCCTCCTTCCTTCCTCTTTCCCAGCCTACGTCTGCCCAAGTCTCTCCTGCGTGTTTAACCCAGTCTCCCCTGTGTTTCTGATCCTGTAGATGTGGCCTTGAGTGTAACCTGCCTATCCTTTCCCAATTCCTCTGGAGTTATTTTCTGGGCAGTCACTCCAGTGAAGAGCAAACCAGTGTGATGTTTCTCTGTACACCACACGTGTGTTGAAATCTGTGGCTTTGGCCTGTGGGTGTTGTAAGACAGAAGTCCACAAATGTGATTTTGAGGATAACAGCACGCGTGTGTAAACAATGACTAGATGGAACCACGATCAACGGCATCATTCTCTTGACATAGCTTTGTCTTTCTCAACCTGCTGAGGCAGTCACTGTCCCTGTGCTCGCCGCACGAGGGTGACTTGTGGCCTAGGTGCCAGTTTGCTTGCTGGCTGTTTCCTTGACTGGGATTCACCAGTCTGTGCTGGCCTGCATTGTTACAAGGACGCTGGTCCGTCCGATTGTCCTGGCTGCCTACTGCTGGGTGGTGCCTCAGGTCGACCTTTCTGGGGCAACTACACCAGTCAGCGTCGGCTGTGAGCTTGGAGAGAAATGGATGTCTGTTCCTCTATAGTCACGTTTTCTGCTGCTCAGCCTGGTGGGTGAATGTTTTCATTCCCACTGGCTTTGTCAAGTCAACAGGTTCTCAAGAGAGGAATGTATCCTCATGGAATGCCACTCATGTTACGTATCTGTGGCATTACCCTTGTATGTTTGAGGGTCTTACCAGTATCGTCCCTCTGTAGTTCCAGAACCTGGAACTAACAATGTATATTGTCACAATCATCCTGGCAGAGTGTTTTGATATTTCACAAGTGCTGGGTTGTTAATCCTTTTGGTACCGCACGCACTGCACGTTTGGGTGAATTGTGGCCCTGCTGTCAGTTGACAAAGAAGTCTTATTGGATAGTAATAACGTATTAGCAGCAAGAATGCGTTGGTACTGGGGTAATCTTAACAGTTACAAGAAACTGTCTATCTGTAAGATGAATGTGCTGCGATCTTCACAACGACCTGGTGAAAAATTAAAATATTTCTGTTGAAAAATGTCTTCTTTCTAATTAACTTTTCAGAGGGAGGAAGAACTGGCTTTTGTTATGGCAAATCTTCATTTCCATCAGCTTGTGGAGAAGAGCACATTAGGCTCCGCCACCGTGTATGTATTTCCACGTGGGTCTATTCACGTTTTGTACAATGTGAAGGATTAGAAGTTGATATCATCTGAACATCCTGAGAATAGCTACAAAGATACTCTGTTTTTAATCAGTAGACACAAGCCAACGGGCATAATTACTTAGCTGTGGCTAAAATAATTGGGTTATTCGTGAGTACATATTTGCTTTCTTTGTTCCGGGTTAAGGATTTTGTGCCGAGTGGGGGCAGGATGGGTCCATCACTGCAAGGTCCCGGTGCATCAAGGTGCTCGCTGTGCTTGGCACTCTTGTGCCTTTTCGTATCTTGCAAGGCCTGCAGTTGTGGTTTGCTTAGCCCGGCACTGTGTGTGTCTCTCCATGAATTTGCAGCTCTTCAGGTGGGGAATATGCTTTTCATTTCACTACAGCTCTCAGATCTTTTTTTTTTTTTTTTTATTACCTGAAAAGGTAAAGCTCTGAATGCTTTTGAGTTTGTTACCTTATGTAGTAAGGTTTTTCTTATTGAATAAAACTTGGTTCGTCATAGCATTGGGTCTTCTGCCCGACTTCCTGACCTGTAGGTCTGTTCTTTGGTGCATTTTCCTGCTGAGCAGCTCTGTCCTCTGGTGACCTCTGTCCTCCAGTGACTGAGACCGCCGAGGAGCAGGGGCACCTCCTAGAGCCGCTGCGCTGGGCAGATCCCAGAAACACTTCCGCCCATGGGTACCTATGGAACTCATGCATTTGCCCATTTTTAGAGACGTTTTAGAGAAGTTGGTGAAAGAAGCACAAAGTGTTTCTTTTGAGTTCCTGGTGTAGAGGATGACTGGGAGGAACCTTTTTGAGGATTGACAGGAACTGGTGTTTAAATGGATGCCGATATTTTTAGAGTATTTTCAGTTCAAGCATTTTGTCTCTGGTGTTGACAAACCTGTGTGTATGTTTTGTTTTGCTTTTTAGCCCCTACGAGCTACCTCCTCATACCCCCCTTTTGGATGACAACCCAGAGTATGGACTGCATGGCTACCAACTCCATATTGATATGCACAGCGGTGGAATTTTCTACCTGTGTGGTACATTTCGCAATCTCTTTACCAAGAAAGGTGAAATAATTGAGTTTTTGCTTCAGTATTAAGTTAAAAGATTAGAGACAGTAGGGGACCAATTTTTATATCTGAGTTAAGAATAGTTTCTTAACTGATTATCTGTTGGCTCTCTGTCTTCCTAGACCCATACCTCATTCTAGGACTCGTGAAATACCGTGGCTGGATCTAGTCTCTTTAGCTTCTGGCTCCTCATCACCATCTCTCTACCTTCTGGAATATTCTCTACTCATCTTTTCTGCTGATACTTCCCTTACTGTTTTGCCCTGCCTTGCCTCTTCCCCTGCCCGAAACTTCTTCCCTTCTTTCTCCGAGGAACTTGGTAAACTTGCCCACAGAGCCAGTGTATCTCCTGCCCAGGATAAGAATAAAGAGAAACCACCCTTCTGCATGTACTGCATCCATGATTATCATGCTTACCAACGCTGAGACAGAGACTAGAGTAGGCAGTGAAGGGAGGGGACCTCAGCCAAGTTAAAGGGAAGAAGGAAGTTTGGTGTAAAGAACTGTATGGATTCAAGTTTCACATTTTTGGTGATAAATTTCATAGGGGAAATTTTATACTCCTTTTCTGAATACCCTGTTCCCCCAAATTGTTTCATCTAATAGATTTGGCATCCATTACTAATCCCCTGCCTACGTCAATTTCTTTTAGAGTTTAGAAAATGGTGATTTTCTAATTATGTCAGTATTTCCACGTTTATTAGCTGAGGTTTTGTAAAATACTTCCCCGCATCAACTAGTGAACTCCTGGAGTGGCAGGGTAAATGCTTTAATCCTGTCTCTTTTGGCCACCAATGTTCAGATTAAGAAATTGATGTGATCTTTACCTCCTGTGGGTGGAAATTATTTTGGGTGTGCTCCCTCTCTTTCTGTCTTTGTTGTTTAGTGCCATTGTGGATTTTTTTTTTGTATTAAATAACTTTTTAAAATGTTTGTTTATTTTTGAGAGAGACAGACAGGCAGACAGACAGAGTGGGAGCCAGAGAGGGCCAGAGAGAGAGGCAGACAGAATCTGAAGCAGGCTCCAGGCACTG